ACTCACATACATCCACGCACATACGGAAAATACCTCCATCTTACATACATGCAGACAGACATAATTACCTATATGCATGCATGCATACACGCAGAACCGTGCCGCTGGCAAGGTGTGGGCGTGTCCTCAGGTCCTGGGCCCAATCCTCTAAGCCTCACTGCCCACTCCTCAAGAGTCCTTACGGGGCCCGGACCCCTCGCTCTCACATCTCCCGGGGCTCGGCGTGCTCCAAGCTGCCCGGCGCGTGCCCCCTGAGGCTTCCCGCGTGGCCCAGGGCTTTGCCAAGTGGGGGCGCGTGAATTGTTCGGGCCCGGGGGGGCCCCAAGACGGGCCAAGAGGGCCCCAAGCGGCCTGCAAGACGGTTCAAGAGGGCCCCGAGACGCCCAAAGATCGGCCCAAGTCGCCCAAGATGGCCTCAAGATGGCCCAAGAGGCCTCCAAGACGCCACAGTAGGCCTCCCAAGAGTGCCTCAAGAGGCAACAACCATGTATTTCCCTCTCGTGTTTGAAGGATTTGGGCGCTCTCGCCTTTTCGGCTTTCCGACGCTTCAAGACGGCCCAAGGGGCCCCCAAGACCACCCCAAAACGGCCCAAGAGGTCTCCAAGACAGCCCAAACACTGTCTAAGAGCACCCCCAAGAGGGCCCAAGAGGCGCCCAAGGCGGCCCAAGGACGCCCCCGGACGGCCCAGAAAGGGGCCCAAGGGAGAGAAAACAAACCGAACATCCCAGCCTTCTGCCCCAAGAGGCACCCAGGAGCTCCTAAGAGGCGCCCAGGAGGCCCCAAGAGGCCCCCAAGAGGCCCCGAAGAGACCCTACGAGGCCCCCAAGATGCCCAAAAGATGCCCAAGAGGCCCCCAAGCGGCCCCCAAGAGACCTCCTCACTCCCTCCAAGAGGCCCCTCGGAGAGGCCCCCCACGAGATCCCAACGAACATCCAATAGGCTTCATACCCACATCCTAAGCATTGTGGCACACACACACACACACACACACACACACGTGCAAGCACACACGCTTTTTGCGCCAGCTGCTAGGCAGAGTGACTGCGCTTGCGGAAGAGCACAAGTAGGATGCGCAGATGCGAATGAAGCCGCGATGCATGGGGGAGAAAGAAGGAACGCCCGGTGCGGGCAGGAGGCACACACACACACACGCAAATACACGCACACACGCACACACACACACAACACACACGTACACACACGTACACACACGTACACACACACACACACACACGTACACACACACACACACACGTACACACACACACACACACACACGTACACACACACGTACACACACACACACTTTTGCGCCGGCGGCTGGGCAGACGGCGACTGCTCCGGCGGATTGGCAACAGGGAGCACGCTGTATGCAAATTAAGGCCGCCATGCACGGAAGAGGAGGAGGAGCCCCGTCGCGACAGGAAGAGAGGAAGCCGGGCCCACTCGGAGTCGCCAGCTGCGGCAGGGGAGCGCCGAGGGGGGGAACCAGCGCCGGCACTGAGCTGCAGTGAGCTGGCACGTACACACACAAACACACGCACGGGCATGCTGGAGCAGCAGGAGGCAGCGTGCAGAACAGCGCTCGAGAGCGCCCGGGGGCGATAAAGGGGGGAGAGCAGAGGGCAGGGCAGGGCGGCGGGGGAGCAGGGCAGGGGACGACAGGCCCCAAGAGCGAGGCAAGATTTGCATACCCTCCTCCTCCTCCTCCTCCTCCTCCTCCTCCTCCTCCCCCTCCTCCCCCTCCCCCTCCTCCTCCTGCCGAGGTCCCCGAAGATCGATCACCCAGGCGGTGGCGATAGAGAAACCCCCGCCTCTGAGCAGGGCAGAACCAGACATCGCCAGCATATACGGACCTGGCAGCTTCCTTTTGCGCTCGGACGCGCTCTGCCACAGACCGCATCCCAGCTGTCGGGCTGTGACGAGTGCTGGCCGAGGAGGATGAGGCCCTGCGAGAAGCCTCGCGAAGGACCACTCCAGCAGATGGGCCACAAGGGCACGAGGAGGAGGAGGAGGAGCCCAGCGTAGAGGGCTGAGGAGGAGGAGGAGGAGGCGGACGAGGAGGCGGAGGTGGAGATATAGGAGGAACATCAGCAGGATACACGGTGGCCTTTCCCCGACTTCGGGCCCTGCCTCAGAAACTATTGCCCTCCAAAGCAGGAGAAGTCAGAATTTAATCGGGAAGTTGGTTCGGATCGGAAGAGGCATCGCATCGGGCCGCACCCGCACGGCATCGGAAACCGAACCGGATCGGCCGAGCCAGGATGCACAGCAGCGCCGTGCGAGCTTCGGGCTTCGTCGCATCGTCGGAACATCGAGACCGAATCGGATCGAGCCAGTCTCGGATCGTACCGATCGGATCGAAATGGACCGTGCCAGGACTCGGCTACACGCAAGAGTGACCCTGGGTAAGAGTGACCTTTGGTGCGCGGCTTTTGGAGAGCCGCGGGGGGGACCAAACACAAGCGCGCAAGACGCTACGCTACTATCGCACCGCGTTCGGCGATCGGAGGACCCCAATGGGCGCGCACCAAAAGGTCACTCTGGCGAAGGGTCACTCTTACGCGTAGTCGACAGGACAGGCGGGTCAGGACAGGCTGCTCCCGCGCGCCGGTCCTGGGCCGTCCGGGCGCTCGGCGGCGCCGCATCCGGGGACATCCCCCCCCCCCCGCCGGGCGTTCCTCGGGGGGGGGGTCTGCCTGCGGCCAGGGGACCTGCTCTGCGCTGCGCCCCGCCTGTTCTGGTGTGCCGCTGCTGCTGCTGCTGCGGAGGAGGAGGAGGAGGAGGAGGACGGAGGGAGGGAGGGAGGGAGGGCTGCGGAGGAGGAGGAGGAGGACGGAGGGAGGGAGGGAGGGAGGGAGGGAGGGAGGGAGGAGGAGGAGGAAGGAGGGAGGGAGGGAGGAGGAGGAGGAGGGAGGAGGCTGCCGTGCCCTGCGGTGCCTGCGCTGAAGCCTGTGCGCTGGCAGGTCTCGGTGCGGTGTGCCCGGCGGTGCCGCGGCAAGGCGCGCTGCTCTGCCTCTACTCTGCTCTGGCTCGGCTCCGCAGTGCCTGCTGCACCCCAGACCTCCTCGCGTTGTGAAAAAAATCAAGACGGGAGGTTTTCGCTATTTTCGGCCTCCCGGGGCCCTTACCGGGCCTCGGGACTGTCAAAAAACGACTCAGGACGAGAAACCGGTCCCGGGGAAGGGGTCCAGACCTCTGGGGGTCGACGTTGTGGAAAAATCACCGCGTCGGGGGTCTGGGACTGCGCCTGTGCGCTGACATGTCGCGGTGCGCCCTGCGGTGCCGCAGCACGGAGCGCTGCTCTTCCTCTGCTCTTCTCGGCTCGGTTCCGCGGTGCCTGCTGCACTGCGTACGCAGCTTGGCGCTTCGCTGCGCGGATTTGGTTGCACCGTTTCGCCCTGCATCGCTATTGCTCTGCACTGCTCCGAGTTGAAGCGGTTCTCGACGGCCTGCTCTGCATTGCGTGGCTCTGCGTTGCATTGCTTCGATGGGCGGTACATTGTGTGTGCAGTGCGTTCCGTCACACTGCATTGCGTTGTTCCGCATTGCATTTGTATCGCTGTGCGTTGCATTGTGCCGCCTCGACTTCGCTCGAATTCAACCGAAAAGCCTTGAAGTGGTGTATACTGCCTTGCATCGCGTTGCTTTCACTTGCATTGCATTGCCTTGCACTGCACTCATTTACTTCGCGTTGACCTGGGTTGTCTGATTATACTTCGCGACTGCTTGACTTGCATGGCTTTGAATTTCACTGCCTTGCGATATGTTGCGTTGATCTACCTGGCGTCGCATTGCACTCTTTCGCGCTAGCTTGATCCGCTATGATTAACTGCACGTCGCAATCCATGCTTGATTCCTTGCTTGGCCTTGAATGGCTTGTTTGATGTACATTGCACGGCACTGTTTTATGTAGCCTTGAACCGCACTGCCTTGCATTCTGGCTGCGTTACGTCTAACCGCTGTGAGTTGCTCCCTTTTGCTTTGATTTGAGTGGATCTGGATTGCTTTACATACATTGCCGTACTGTGCCATGCGTACCTTTGCTTGCGGTGGTTTGTTGCTGCCTGTATTGCCCTGTTTTGCATTACTTGAATTTGCTCCACATTGTTATGCATGCATTGTTCTGCTTTGCATTGGGCGAGTTGATGTGCATTGCTCTGCTTTGCTTTGCATTGCTTTGCGATACCCTCTTCTGCTTGCTTGTTTGCACTTGATTTGCGTTGTCTTGCATTACTCAGCACTTCTTCTTTTGAGTTGCTGTGCGTCGCCGTGCGCAAGTTTGCACTGCATGGCATAACTCGCTTTGCTTCGAATTGCTATGTTTGGACTTGCTCTGCACTGATTTGCACTGCATCACTTTGCACTGTACTGCGTTGGACTGCATTGTCTTGATTTGCATGTAATTGTGGTCTTCGTTGTTCTGTTTGCTCTGCTGTCCTGTGCACTGTATCGGGATGTTTTACCTTGCGTTTCCTCGCTTCGCTTCGAGTGGCACGCTACTGAGTTATATGCTACACGCGTCAGATCAACGAATACACTTGCACCCCCTTGAAACACATCGATGTGATGTGAACTTCTCTGTGAGTTGTGTTGCGCCAGCAACAAACACAACACAACTATCGAAACGTTGATGGAAGATGAGGCAACGTATGGCAGCATGAACGCTCTCTTGCATTATACTTCGATGTGAGTTGCTCTGAGTCCCGACCTGTCGGTAGTCTCAGATTCAGCAAGCCCCTAATCGAAAGGAAACTCCTGGCGGCGGTCGCGCTGGACTCATGTCGAACTCAACGCCAAGATGTCCCACAGAGCCGCTGCCACCGAAGTGCCTCCGAAGGCTGCTGGGGGAGGACAGGCGGAGGACACGACGAGGCCAGCACGGGCAGAGGTGGAGAGGCTGGCGTCCAGTGTCTCAGCTCTTGCCCTCTTCAACGGCGAGCACAGCGGAGTCGTGACCGCACGCAGGGCTGCCGAGCACGCCTCGTCGCGATCGCGCGGCGGAGCGCACTGAGTCCCGCGCTGGCAGATCCACGCCTCCGGCAGCAGCCCGATGTCCACGCACAGGCCGTGCGGGCCGCAGTCCTGGGCGGGTCCACCGGTGGCCCCGCCTCGCGAGGGATCAGGTCGGCTGCACGCAGGAGTGACCCTGGGCAAGAGTGACCCTTGGTGCGCGGCTTTCTGAGGGCTGCGGGAGGGCCAACACACAAGCGCGCAAGACGCTGCTATCGCACCGCACTGGGCGATCCTCCGCACAGGTCTCAGGACGCGCGGGGTCACACGCTACGGCTTCCCACGCGCTCTGGGAACAGACACCATTCAGAGTGCAGAGCTGGCACGACTGCGGGTATTGACGCAGGCAGCTGGATAGCATGGCCGCATTGGGCCTCAACAAGGCGCCCCAAAACGGCCTCAAGACTGCTCCAGAGGACGCCGAATTCAATCCAAGGCCGCCCTGAGATGGTTCCAAGGGGATCCCAAGGCCCGTCCAAACGGCCCTAATATGCTTATGCAGAGTTTATTCTGGAGAGCCCAGGAGCACCGCGCCCACGACAGCCCCGAAGAGGCTCTCTATGTGCCATTATGCCCCAAGAAGCCTCCAAGAAGGCCCCACAGAGGCGGTGAGACAAGCATGCGACATTGCGGCTATTCCACGGTCGAGGTGAGACAACCACCTGTAATCACGGCTGTGCCGCCCGAGGGCCCGCCTGAGGTTCCAGCATCATATGCAAAGTTAAGTTGCATGCCCACCCATAGTGTGATTGCAAGGCAAACGCAGACCCATCGCGCACTCTTATAGATCCTTACCTCGGTTACACTGCAGACCGGCGGCGCCAGATGCAGTTGTAGCAGGCTTCGCTTGCAAGACGGCTGTGCAAGACGGCTGTGCGACTGTCGAGTGTAAGCGGCAGCGCCGCGTTTGAATGTGCCAAAGATAACCGTTGAGGTGTGTGGCCGCAGCGAGCTTCTCTGTCAAGGTGAGTGTGCCAAGGGTAACGGATACACCTCCGAGACTTCAGATATGGTCAGATGCGACTGTAACACACCATAGCGAACTGGGCCTCCTACCATAGCAGCAACTGTCAACTTACATCTGGCACACATGCGTCTTTTGTTTCCGTTTGAGTGAGTCACTCATACATGTTCTGAGACAGCGCTGGCAAATGTACTGGGAGTGCTGGCCTTGTCGCTCGAGGGGTGCAAAAGGTGCCTCGGGCAACACCAACTGTACCCGCAACCGTGCCGTGGGCACGTCGGGGCGCGTGAGAATGCTCCTCTGCTGCCTGCCAAGGTTTGGCGCCCCCCCTTCTATTAGCACGCGAATTCAAAACATCGCCCCACATTGGCGCCTCCGTCGGCCTCCAGAGGGCCGCAGGACAGCTGAAAATAGTTCCAAACTGCTACAAGAAGTCCTGAGATCATACCTGAGGGGCAGAAGGTGCTCCCAAAGGCCAGACGTCGCCAAGATGCCCCAAGCGGGCCCAAAAAGTCTCCAAGAGACTCACACAGAGGCCTCCGCAGATACGAACAGAGGCACAAAGCATTGAAAACCCGTGGGGTAGCCAATCTTCAGAGAAGCCTGAAAAGCCCCCAACGCCTTCCCAAAACTGCTAGCACCCAGATAGCCACAGGACTGCCCGCGAACCCTCCAAGATGACCCACGGGGGATCCAAGACCGAATGAGCGATGTCGATCTAAAACCCACGCGGACCCAGACCGTTTGCTGAACAGGCTCCGGGCTTTCCGCTCCACCCAAGAGCGTCCGAAGACGGCCTAAACGAAACCCGACATATATGCGTGGACACATCTCAGACCATAGCACGAACAAACATGCGTAACTGCATATATATCGATGTATATATATATATATAGAATGTATATAACTACAACCTCGCGCACGCCACGCGGTCGCTTAGGCTCTAGTCAACTCCGAAGACCGCCCATTCATGTTCGTCATTCTTGTTCTCACCCGCTCCCATGGCACGCATGCGATCCCCGAGGCCACGAACGCGGGAATGGGGTCGTCGGCGTCGTCGGCGTCGGCACAGTTTCCGGAGTCGTCGTCGTCATGGTCGCGTGAGGGGGAGAAGGAAGGAGCGAGAGAAGGAGAGGGGAGGGATGGAGGTAGGAAAGAAAGGAAGCAGGGAGGCAAGATATGCACAGACGGAGAGAATAGGAAAGGGAGCGAGGGATGGATCAGCGGATGAGTAAGGCTTCCTCTTTCTTCCTTTTCCTCCATTTCCTCAATGTGTTTACTCCTCCTAGACCTCCTCCTTCCCTCCTCGTGATCCTCATCCCCATCCTCTGCCTCTGGTCCCCCCCCTCCTCCTCCTCCTCCTCCTCCTCCTCCTCCTCCTCCTCCTCCTCCCCCTCCTCCTCACCCTCCTCCTCCTCCTCCTCCTCCTCCTCCTCCTCCTCCTCCTCCTCCTCCTCCTCCTCCTCCTCCTCCTCCTCCTCCCCTGACTGGCGGTGACAATCAGATTCCCAGAAGGCCCTCTGGGACCATGATTGTTGTGGCCGTGTTGGGGCCCTCGCGGAGGCATCTGTAAGGTCCTTTCGGGGGGGTCGAAGCTCACCTGGGGGGTCGTCTTGGCGCTCCCCAGCCGCCTGAGGAGCCTTTTGGGGGTGTCGAGACTCCTTTGGGGCTTCGTCTTGGAGCCTTTTTGGCCTGCTTGGCTGTGTCTTGGGCCGTCTTGGCGCCCTGTTGAGGCGCGTCGGTGCAATATATGGAGCGTCTTGGGTAATGCTGGAGCGTCGGCAAGCGGAACAAGCAACACGGGGAACTGCTGGCGGCGACAGTCACGTTCCTGGAAGGGTCTCGCGGAAAATAATGGTTGCGGCCGTGTTGGGGACGTCGCGGAGGCCTCAGTAAGGCCTATTCGAAGTGTCGAGGTTCAGTTGGGATGCCGTCTTGGTGCTCCTCGACCGCGGCCGCGTGTGGACCCTTTTTGTGATGCCGCGGATTGTATTAGGGGCACTCTTGGGGCGTCTTGGGTCATCTTGGGCGCCTGGTGGGCCGTCGCGGATCGTCGAAGCGGAGCAGGCGACAACAGGGAAACCCTTGAAACATCTAAAACAAAATCACAGATGTTTGCCTATTGAGCCTCTCTCGTAGAACAGTTCGGAGCCCTCTTGGGGCGTCTTCGGGGCCTCGTGAGCCGTCTCGAAGCAGTGGTAGGCGTACTGGGGCTGTTGCATGGCTCTTTGGGCCCCCTTGGAAACTCTTGTGGTGTGTCCAAGCTCATTTGGGAGGCGGTCTTTGGGCCTCTTGGGCCATCTTGGGCGCCTCTTGGGCCGTTTTGGCGCCCTCTTGGGACTGGTTAGGGCCCTTGGACGCTTCTTGTGCCGTCTCCGAGTGTCGGTAAGCGGAGCAAGCGAAGACTGGACAATCTGCAAACAAACAACGGCAAATCAACAATTTCTGCCTACTGGGGCCCAGCCGGACAGCAGTTTGGATCCCTCTTGGGGCGTCTTGGAGGCCTCGTTGGCCGTCTCGGAGCACTTGTGGGCGTGCTGTGGCCGTTTGGGGCCCTGTGGGTATCGTGGTGTGTCCAAGCTCATTTTGGGTCAGCCTTGGGCCCTCTTGACCCATCTTGGGCTCTCTTGAGCCGTCTTGGCGCTCTCTTGGGGTGTGTTGGCGCCCTCTTGGACGCCTCTTGTGCCATCTCCAGGCGTCTTGCAACGGAGCAGGCGACCACACGAAAATCCTTGAAGAACCAACGAGGCAAATCAATTCCTAACCATCCTGTGGTGCTGGGTCCTCGTTTTGAAGAGACGGCGCCCCGCGTTCCTCTCCTTCTCCTTCCCGCCCTCCTCCCCCTCCTCCCTCCTTCCCCTCCTTGCCTCTGCTCTCGGCACACCTCTCACACGTTTCGTAGCCCCATAGGGAGCTCCACCGAAGGCCCCAGTGGGGGTGCCCACATGCGGTTCCCCCACCCAGGGCAGCGTTTCGTAGCCCCATAGGGAGCTCCACCGAAGGCCCCAGTGGGGGTGTCCACATGCGGTTCCATTGGGCCATGCGCGTTCCCCCACCCAGTTCGTAGCCCCATAGGGAGCTCCACCGAAGGCCCCAGTGGGGGTGTCCACATGCGGTTCCCCCACCCAGGGCAGCGTTTCGTGGCCCCATAGGGAGCTCCACCGAAGGCCCCAGTGGGGGTGTCCACATGCGGTTCCCCCACCCAGGGCAGCGTTTCGTAGCCCCATAGGGAGCTCCACCGAAGGCCCCAGTGGGGGTGTCCACATGCGGTTCCCCCACCCAGGGCAGCGTTTCGTGGCCCCATAGGGAGCTCCACCGAAGGCCCCAGTGGGGGTGTCCACATGCGGTTCCCCCACCCAGGGCAGCGTTTCGTAGCCCCATAGGGAGCTCCACCGAAGGCCCCAGTGGGGGTGTCCACATGCGGTTCCCCCACCCAGGGCAGCGTTTCGTGCCCCATAGGGAGCTCCACCGAAGGCCCCAGTGGACATGCGGTTCCCCACCCAGGGCAGCGTTTCGTAAGGGAGCTCCACCGAAGGCCCCAGTGGGGGTGTGCGGTTCCCCCACCCATTTCGTGCCCCATAGGGAGCTCCACCGAAGGCCCCAGTGGGGGTGTCCACATGCGGTTCCCCCACCCAGGGCAGCGTTTCGTAGCCCCATAGGGAGCTCCACCGAAGGCCCCAATGGGAGTGTCCACATGCAGTTCCCCCACACAGGGCAGCGTTTCGTGGCCCCATAGGGAGCTCCACCGTAGGCCCAGTGGGGCTGCCCGCATGCGGTTCCCCCACCCAGGGCAGCGTTTCGTAGCCCCATAGGAAGCTCCACCGTAGCCCCAGTGGGGGTGCCCGCATGCGGTTCCCCCACCCAGGGCAGCGTTTCGTGGCCCCATAGGGAGCTCCACCGAAGGCCCCAGTGGGGGTGCCCGCATGCGGTTCCCCCATCCACGGCAGCGTTTCGTAGCCCCACAGGGAGCTCCACCGAAGGCACCAGCGGGGGTGTTCGCATGCGTCTCCCCTACCCAGAGGTAGGGGCACCGAAAACGATATTCATATTTGCGGTATTCACAACTGCATATGGTTGGGTCCTTCGCCAGGCTAATGTTTTTTTGCCCAGTGGGGCTCCCTTTGGACCCTTTTTGGGGCATCGTGGAGGCCTCGTGGGCCGTCTTGAAGCAATGGAGGGCGTGCTAGCGGCGTTTTCGTGCCCTTTGGGCCCCCTTGACGGCCCCTTTGGCCAGTCGAGGCTCGTTTGGCCCCCCCACGCGGCAGTCTAGCACCGGCCCGTCCCTGGGGCCGACACATATATGTGTACATATATATATATACATATATATATATGTATATATATATATGTATATGTATATGTATGTACAGATAGATATATGCATATATGTATACATACGTACATCCATGCGTGCATACATACATACATACATACATACATGCATACATACATACATGCATGCATGCATACATACATACGTACATACGTACATACGTACATACGTACACACGCATATACGTACATACGTACATGCATACACACATGCATACGTACACACGTATATACGCACATACGTACATACGTGCATGCATACATACGTACATACGTACATACGTACATACGTGCATACGTACATACGTACATACGTACATGCGTACATGCGTACATACGTACATAGGTACATGCATGCATGCATGCATACATACATGCATACACACATACATACATATATACATATATACATATGTGCATATATACATAGATACATACATACATACATATTTACATACACATATATATACATACATACATACATACACACATACATACATACATACATACAGACAGACATACATACATACCGACATACATACATACATACATACATACATACATACATACATACATACATGCATGCATACATGCATACATACATACATACATACACACATACATACACACATACATACATTCACACATACATACATACATACATACATACGTACGTACGTACGTACATACACACATACATACATACATACATACATACCTACACGCACACATACATACATATATACACACAGATAGACACATATACATACATACATACATACATACATACATACATACATACATACATACATACATACATACATACATACTCACACATACATACATACATACATACATACATACATACATACATACATACATACATACATACATACACATATACGCATATACAGACACAGTTACCTTCAATATTGCATTGGCGCTTCACGCCATGCACCCTGGTCCTTGAAGTTTGGCATGCAGGCGGAAGGGCAGGAAGGTCAAGCCGACAATTTAGCGATAACTCCTTGTTGCCTTTTCCAGCATCGCCGATATACTAATGTGCTCCGTTATCCTGCCGCAATTGTTATTTTTCCTCATTCTCGCCCTAGCCTGCGAATTCTTCCCCATCCTCCTCAGCTCTTTTTGCGGAGGCTCCTCCTTGGAGAGCCTCTGGGGACCTCACGGCTCACGGAAGTTTGTAAGGCTTTCTCAAGGCCTTCTGGAGAACCGCGGTCTTCCCGAATGACCAGGTCACGATTGGAAAGGCTTCGGAGAGTGTCTTGAGGCCATCTTGGGCCGTCATGGGGCTCTCCTAGGCTATCTTGGAACCCTGTTGTGCCGTCTCGGGGCTCTCTTGGACTGCCTGGAAGCCTTTTCGGATGATGTTGGGCGATTTTCGAACCTCCCAGGCAGTCTCGAACGCCCAGAAGACCGAAGAACAGGGCATTCCCAAAATCGTGCAAAAACCTTGACAAAATGAATGTTTCTCTTCGTTTTGGAAGCCTCTTGGGGGTCTTCTTTGGGTCGTCTTCGGGCGTCTGGTAGGTGTCTGGGGCCACTTGGGGCCCTCGGGGGGTGTTCGGCCGCCCTCCTGATCGATGTGGGCCCGTTGCCTAAGGGCTTCCAGGAGCGCTGAAACGCCTGGGAGGCCTCCTGCAGGGGCGTCCAGGGGGCCACCGGGGCCTAGGATCCACGGGGTCCAGAGGGCCCCAGGGGCCCAGGATTCGGGGGGTCCGATTTCCAGGGGGGGTCGGGCAATAAAAATATGTAAATGGGGTGTAGATTCAATGTATGTAAACATGTATGTATATACGTATATATATATATGTGTATACATACATGTGTGTACACATATATATATATATATATATAAAAATGTGTATATATATATAGATGCACATACATATGGACATACATACACTAGACTGCATTGGCGCTTCGCGCCATGCACCTTCGTCCTTGAAATTTTGTATGCAGGCGGAAGAGCACGAAGGTCAACCAAACAATTTTGCGATAAATCATTGCTGTCTTTTCCGGCATCGTCGATATAATAATGTTAATCACCGTCCTTTCTCCAAGTTTCGTCTTCCTTATTCTCGCCCTACCCTGTAAATTCTTCTCCATCCTCCTCAGATCTTTTTGCAGAGGCTCCTCCTTGGAGAGCCTCTTGGGGCCTCACGGAAGATTAAGGCTTTCTTAAAAGGCTTCTGGAAGCCTCCTGGGCGTCTTCTGGGAGGCTCTGGGGGCTTCCTCGGGCCACCCTGCCTCCAACCGCGGTCTCCCTGAATGACCAGGTCACGATTTGAAAGGCTTATGAGGGTGTCTTAGGGGCCATCTTGGGCCGTCATGGGGCTCTTTTTGGCCATCTTGGAACCCTGTTGTGCCGTCTTGGGGCTCTCTCGGACTGCCTGGAAGCCTTTTCGAATGGTTTTTGGGAGATTTTCTGGCCTCCCAGGCGGTCTCCGATCCCCTCAGAAGACCGAAGAACAGGACATTCGGACATCCGTGTATTTCTGCGTTTTGAAAGCCGCTTGGGGGTCTTCTTTGGGTCGTCTTCGGGCGTCTGGTGGGTGCCTGGGGCCTCTTGGAGCCCTCGGGGGGGCGTTCGGGCGCCCTCCTGACCTATGTGGGCCCGTTGCCTAGGCCCAGCGAAGGCTTCCGGGAGCTCTGACATGCCTGGGGGCAAGACGGCCCCAAGGCCGAGGGACCGAGTTCAGACTGCGCGCTGAACTGGCGTGGCTCTTACACCCAACCTCCTTCACGCTGCGCCGCTGCACTGGCAAGGTGGCGGGGTTTGCCGCAGGCAACTGGCTATTACCTACATGGGCCATAGTTATATTCACGCGGGCGCGTCTTAGCACGACCAGCGGGCGCGAGCCTTGCGACCCTCTAACTCACATTCCTCGCACCCTCCCCGCCCGTGAACCACCCCTGATGGGCCTGTTTTCCACCACCACCACAATAAGTTGGAGGGTAGGAGGAGGAGGACGAGAAGGACGAGGAGGAGGACGAGGAGGAGGAGGAGGAGGAGGACGAAGAGGGGGAGGAGGAGGTGGTGGAGGACCTCCTCCCCCTCCAACTTATCTTGGCGGTGGGGGAAACAGGCCCATCAACCCCGCACAAACCCTTGCAGGCGGCCGCACGTGCAGGTCAAGCATCTGGAAGACGCCGTGGGGTGCTCGGGAGGCCCCATGTGCCGTTTCGACCTGCAGGGCTCGCACGCGGTACAGGCCTCGGAAAGAATAGCGAACGTTCGTGCCACATTCATCTGTCAGCGCCTCCCGCTCCCCCCAATGTTCAAAGTTGGTGGTGGGTCTGCTGAGTTGCACCTCGATCGCAGTCTCCCCCGCGCGTGCCAACTTTGAGTTTGGGGGGCAGGTGGGGTGTTCACTCACTGTTTCCCTCTACCGTAGGCTCTGAAGCCCTGAGCCCTAACAAGCTGGCACCTCTTGGGGGACACCTATCACTCGAGAGGGGGCTTCCGCCGGCGGAGCCGCCCACGTCTTGCTGCTGCCTGCTAGCCCGCAGGCCTCCCGCCACCTTCCGCCGAAGAAAGGAAGCCAACACATGCTGGGAACGAGGAGACACCAATAACGATGTTCCGTCCGGGGCGCGCTCTGACCAGGATTCCAGGGAGAATCCAGCCGTGGCAACGAAGGCAAGGTCAATCAACATCGAATCCGGAAATCGCGTCGAATTGGAATGTGCGTCGGATCGGGCCGCATCGGCACTCGGCACGGAGTCCAAAACGAATCGGATCGGCTGCATCAGGATGCACAACAGCGCCATGTAAGCATCGGGCCGCATCGGATCGCCGGGACATCAAAATCGAATCGGATCGAACTCGCAAAAAAACAATATCGAATTGGATCGATCGGATCGAATGGATCCTGCGATGGCCCCCAGGAGGCCCCCCAAACGGCGAAAACGCAGCATGGGCATCGATTCTGGTACTAAAACCCAGCCCGCGCCCCTCGCGCACTCGAGATTCTAGATACCCTGAGGCCAAGACATGGCGCGGAAGAGGAGCCGTGCCATGATACGCCAGAACCGTAGAGGGGCGATGGCGTCTTTGGGTGCCGACATCCGAGCCCTACACCCGCCAACCATCGATTCTCCCGAATCGATGGCAGGCGCGGCTAGGGTTCGGATTTCGCCACGTGCTCGACGAATTCCGAACCCCACCCCCGCCATCCATCGGGCTGCCTGAATCGCTGATCGGCGAGGGTAGGTTCAGATTTCGCTGCCTGGCCTTGGGGTCAGATTTTGGCCCGTGTGGACGGTCTGTGCCTCCTCCTCCCCCTCCTCTCCTTTTCCCTTTCCTCCTCCTTTCCTCCTTTGCTCCTCTCCTCCTTTCCTCCTCTCATCCTATCCTCCGTTCCTCCTTTCCTCCTTTCCCCCTCCTCCTCCTCCTCCTCCTCCTCCTCCTCCTCCTCCTTTCCTCCTTTCCTCCTCTTCCCCCTCCTCCTCCTCGAGCCGCTTCCACCGTGGGCCACGTCTGCCAGGGCCTCGCGCAGGGCCGCCCGGGGTCGCCAGGCGGGCACGAGCTCCGCGGGGCAGGAACGGGCCCTCGTGACCGAAGGGTCCACGTGGTGCAGCTCTGCGGCCCCCCGTGTGAAGGGGCGAGGCGAGAAGGAATCTGTCGGGCGTTCGCCTCGCTCTCCCCCCCCCTCGTCTTCCCCTCCTCGTCCCTCTCCCCCACCCTCCTCGTCCTCCTCCCGCACCTCCTCCTCCTCCTCCTCCTCCTCCTCGCCCTCCTCGCCCCTCCTGCTCCCTAGCGTCCTCCGCCAACTGCTCCTCAACATCCTCGTCGTCCTCGTCGTCGCCGTCTTCGGGGTCGGCGGCACCGGCCGTAAGGCCTGCGCAATATGTCGGGCGTCGGAGCAGAAGAACAAGGAACTTGCAGGAATGAAGTGGTGAGAGTGCGGGGGAAGGACAAGGAGGAATGTAGAGGAGAGGAGAATGAGGAGACTCGCCCAGGGACGCCGTGGAGCTACGGCAACCGACAACTTAGACATCCCAGACTTCGTGACACAATTGATGAAAGCCGCAATGCGTGGACTAGTTTTGACGATCTCAATGCCCTCTTGCTGCAACCTTGTGACATCTTGTACGCCAACTATGGCGAGTAACCGCCGCCCACCCGCCCTTGGCAAGAACTTATGTGGCCACACGTTGTGGAAGCGCAGCGCACGAATGGCAGATAACCAATCGAACCTTATATACTCGAATGTGGTTGAATTCTCAGGGTCCGCTTCAGCCGTCGTGTGGCTGTCTCGGGGCTCTGCGGGGAGCCCTCTTCGGCCGTCTTGGGAGCCTCCTCGGGCCCGCTTGGGGCCGCAGTGGGCTTGACTTGGGGCCCTCTCGGGGTCCTTCTGGGGCCCTCTCGGCACCCTCTGGGGCCGCCCAGGGGCCCTCCTGGGCCGCTCGTGGGCAGGCTTGGGCCAGCTGGGGAGACCTTCGCGGGGGCCAGGTGGGGCAGTGCAAGGCCGATCTTGGTGGCCTCGTGGCCCGTCTGGGGCGCTCTCTTGAACCGGAGAAATGCGAGCATGCCAAAATCATTGGGGGCCCCATGGATGAGCGTGGCGAGGGGCCCCTTTCCAAAGCAGCTGCGAGTGGCGCAGGAGTGGCCGTCTCCCACAGGCAACAGCCGCGAAAAGAGTAGCAGCTCCCCGTGGGGCCGCGAAGTGCGCGAGGGGGGTGCCGAAATGAACGGGGGGGGGGGGGGGGGGGGGGGGCAATGCGCGGTACCAAGCTCCCTGTGCGGCCGCGACGCGTGTGAGGGGCATTCCGAAATGGGGGGGGCGGGGCGGGGGGAAATGCTATGCGATACCATGCCAGTGAGGCCATCGGTGGAGCTCCCTGTGGGGCTAGGACACGTGTGTAAGGGTGTGCCGAAATAGGGATGCGGGAATGCTATGCGGTACCATGCCAGTGAGGCCATCGGTGGAGCTCCCTATGGGGCCACGTAGAGTGTGTGACGGGTGTGCCGAAATGGGGTGCGGGAATGCTTTGCGGCACCATGCCAGTGAGGTCTTCGGTGGAGCTCCCAGTGGGGCCAGGGGGCGATACGCGGTGCCATGCAACTGAGGCCTTCGGTGGAGCTCCCTATGGGACCACCAAACGTGTGAGGGTGTGCCGAAATGGCGGGGGGGCGCCATGCGGCACCATGCCAGTGAGGCATTCGGTGGACCTCCTTTTGGGGCGGCACCGAAACGTGTGAGGGTGTGCAAACACGTGTGAGATGACGCTGAGGACAAAGGCGGGCAGAGGCAAGCGGAGAGGGAAAAAGGGGGGAGGTGGGAGGCGGGAGTGCGACGCGGGGCACTGCGGATTCAAAGCGAGGACGCAACACCACAAGACAAAGCCATCATCGGGGCATCTCCAGGGCCTCCTGGCAGCTCCTGCACCGCTCTTTGGAGCGTCTCCAGGGCCTTCGGGGCAGCCTTGGACTGTTGCAACAGCCCACTCCTTCCGTGACGGGCCCCACCCGTGAGGAGCCCCCCTCGCCCTCTACTATAAGCTCCCCCTCCGGCCGCCTCCGCGCACACCCTCGCGCGAGGCGAGGACGTGTCGCCACCGCAGGGGTCGGCCGGGCCTCCAGCGACACCCTGCCCATAGAAGCACAACAAGCTGCATGAGCATAAACTTTTGGTGCTCCGCGCGGATTTCTTGGACCTGCGCTGGGCCCCCCTCCCTGGCGCACGGAGCGCGCCAGGGGCGGCGCCAGAGGCGTCGTTGGGGAGGCCAACGCGCGGATGCAAGAAATCCGCGCGGAGCGCCAAAGTGTAGGTTCATGGCTTTGTTTCTGCTTGGCGGCGCGCACAAGGGGGTAGGGGGAGGGGGGAGGGCTTCTTAGAACGAGGCTGCTTCTTGGAAGGCGCCGGCCTTGCATCTACAAAGAAGGCCCGCGCCCTCTAGGAACCAGGGGTGCTCCTAAGAAGCCTTCCCCCCCCCTCCCCCTACACCCTCCCGTGCGCGCCGCCAGTCTTCTTCGAGGCACCCTCCCGCTGCCCCCCGCTGCGACGACACGACCGACTTGCCGTCCGCACCCTGCTTCGAGGGGCGCGGCCGCCGCCGGCACGGGCACCCGAGGCGCCCCAGCCCCGGCTTTGCGGGGGGCCGAGGCGCGACGAGGACTGGGTCGGGCATGTCCCCCTTGCAGGCGGACTTTGGAAGAGAAATTTAAGACATTCTAAGAAGAATCACACTAGTGATAAAATAATCGAAAAATCGTCCCCCGACTATGTATGGACTATTTTTCAAGATTCGTCCTCTAGGAGGACATGCCCGACCTAAGACGGGGACCCTCTGCGGCGTTCCGGCGCTGCCGTTGAGCTGCGCCGTAGGCTTGCCCGCGAGGTCTTCCTGGGCGGGTCCGCTACAGCTTGCCGGTCATCATGGAGTTGATAACCTCAGTGGAACAAGAAGCCCTGAGATCCTGGCGTTGCCATTGCTTTACAACTGGCGTTTTCGCTCGATTTCGGGCCCCAGGACCCTCATAGGTCGATCAAGCTCGAAAAATGACGCAGCAAGAGGAGGTCCGGGGGTCCAGGCGTGATTGTTTGCTATGTTGCTTGTTTTTGCATCGTCGGATCTCAGGGTGAGCATCATTAAACTTTCGCCAGTCCGCGCGGATTTCTTGGATCCGCGCTCGACCCCCTCCCTGGCGCGCGGCGCGCCAGGGGCGGCGCCGGAGGCGCCGCCAGGAAGCCCCAGCGCGGATCCAAGAAATCTGCTCGGAGCGCCAAAAGCTTATGTTTAGATCACTGTTTGTTCCTCGAGACCTTGTCGCCAGATGTGCCGACGAGGTTGAAGTTTCCGGTCGCGGCCAAGTTCTGGAGGATCGTCTTCTCGCGCAGGTCCATGTCGTGCTTCCGCTTGGCCACGTAGCTCCTGGACATCTCCTTCTCTGCGCTCGCCTCGTGCTTCGTCGCAGCGGCGTCGCAGATCATGGCCTCCTCCTGCCAGCTAGCCTCGATCAGGACCTTCTCGTAGTCAAGATCCGCCTTCAGCCTGAGGGCAGTCGCGTCTGCCTCGGCCTTGGCGATTTGCTCCACGCGATGCGTCTCGCTCTCGGTCTTGGTGCGGTTCAGGGACGCCATGACCTCGTGGTTCAGGACCTCCGCCTTCCCCTCCGCTCGGATGAGGGCCACCTTGCCGTCCTGCTCGGCCTTGACGCTGTCCTGCTCAAACTGGAGTTCGCAGCGCTTCTTCTTCCCCTGCTGTTTCACAATCTCCTGCTCGCTGGTCCTCTTGATCTGCTCGATTTTCATCTCAGACTCCTGCCTAATCTGCATCATCTCGAACTCGTTCTTGCGCTTCATCTTCTCCATGGCCTTTGACATCTTCGTTGTATCCTCGAGGGCCTGCTGAAGATCGGTTGGCAGCCAGACCGACACGATCTTCACGGCGGTGAAGGCCACGCCGTAGTCTTTGAACTTCTCGTTCAGGTTCGCGAGCATTGCCTCTGCCTTCTCGCCGCGGAGCTCGTAGACGGTCTTGTGGTCCTGCTGGCGCACGAGGACGCGGATCGATTCGTCCACGGTGCCCGAAAGATAATCGTCGAAATTCTTGACTCCTAGCTTGTATATAAACTGCGAGGCGTCAACTATCCGGAAAACGACGACCACGTCGATGTTCACCCGCACGTCGTCCGATGTTGGACATTCCCTCACGGGTGCGTCGTAGGAACACGCCTGTTTGGACACAACGTACGCGATACGGTAGTAGGACGGCAGGATGTGCAGGCCGGGTTCGATTTCACCCAGGTCCTGCCCGAACTTCTGCAGCAGGCAGAAGACGCCCGTGGGCACAGTTAGGAGCATCGAGAGGGTGGACCGGTGCGACGGCACGAGCACCAGCGGGATTTCACCCTCGTCGCTCTTGGTTGACAGAATGCTGACCGCGTCGCGCACGATGTTGCCGGAGCGTTTCTGCACAACGTGCGAATGAACCACCGGCCTCTTCGCCTGCGTAGGCATCCCCTTCGAGAAGCGGGCCCGCCGGGGGGCGGAAACGGGCGCGTCGACTTAAGACAGGACGCACGAAGGCACCCTCGAGCCGAGGAGGGCGAGAGGGACGAGAAGGACGAGGGGTCCCAAAGCGGTGAGGTGACAGGCGTTGCGGTGACCGGATCCCTGAAGACCTCACCGCACGGTCCTTCACCGTACGGTTGTGGGACCTCGGAGGCCCCAAGCACCCGAGACGTCTTCAAGTCCCAAAACTTCTCGGTGACGCCGTATCCCCAGTAAACCGCTAGACGGAATGGAATGGAACGGAACGTCCGCAAAGGAATCACACTAAACTGGGGAAGGACCCAACCATTTGCAGCTGTGGGTACCACAGTCGTGAATATCGTCTTCGGTCGGGCTCCTTATGGGGGGGCGCGAAACATATGAGAGGTGTGCAGAAGTGAGCTGGCGGCGGCACGTTGCCACTGATGCCTTGGATGGAGTTCCCTCCAGGGCCGATAGGGGAGCTCCCTACCTATGGGGGCCACGAAGCGTGTGAAGGGCGTGCCGAAATTAGGGCGGCGGGCGCATGCGTACGCTGCCTTTGGAGCATTCGGTGAAGCTCACCATGGGGGCCACGAAACGTGTGAGGAGCGTGCCGAAATGGGTGCGGCGGGCGCATGCGGGCGCAGCCCTGTGGGCCTTCGGTGGGGCCTCCGTGTGGGGGCCACGCAACGTGTGAGGAGCGTGCCGAAATGGGCGCGGCGGGCGCATGCGGGCGCAGCCCTTTGGGTCTTCAATGGAGTTCCCCATGTGGGCCACGCAACGTGTGAGGGGCGTGTGTTGAAAATGGTGCGGCGGGCGCGTGCGGGCGCTTGCCTTTTGGGCCTTCGGTCGGGTTCCCCATGGGGGCCACGCAGAGTGCGAGGGGAGAAGGAGGAGGAGGAGGAGGAGGAGGAGGAGGAGGAGGAGGAGGAGGAGGAGGAGGAGGAGGAGGAGGAGGAGGAGGAGGAGGAGCAGGGGGGGGGGAGGAGGAGGAGGAGGAGGAGGAGGAGGAGGAGGAGGAGGAGGAGGAGGAGGAGGAGGAGGAGGAGGAGGAGGAGGAGGAGGAGGAAGGAGGAGGAGGAGGAGGAGGAGGAGGAGGAGGAGGAGGAGGAGGAGGAGGGAGGAGGGAGGAGGGAGGGGAGGAGGGAGGAGGAGGAGGAGGGAGGAGGGAGGAGGAGGGAGGAGGGAAGAGGGAGGAGGGAACTCGGAACTCGAACTCGGGGATCCGCGAAAGACCGTCACTCAGGACGGCACTGCCAGGGGTGTGCAAAACATAAATAGTCTTGCTGACCAGAGCAAACCCTTAGAAGGGCCGCAAAAAAACACATAGTTACGCCACCGAGTCAAGATATGGAATCCGAGTGCCGACATGGACTCAGCACGAGAGAGACCTAACATTGCACAAGCACAAGCATCCCACTCCCCAATCACACATAATCCAACTCACCTCCCTACATCCCACTAGATCAACAAAACAACAAGAAAAGAAGAGCTAGCCTGCGCAGCCTGAGATGGCGGTCTTGAACCACCTGTGTAAATCAGCCTGGACCTTCTCTTGGGCTGCAGCTGGTGGCGGCAGCTCGGGAGGTGGCCCAAACAAGTTCACTGAAAACATAAGAAGTCTCTTGCGTTCGGCCACTCTCGCCCTGCGCCGACGCACCGCTTCAACCCTATTTGCCGCTATCCTCGCAAGGACAGCGTCCGACAAAGGAGGAGGAAGAGGCGGAAGGGGGAGTGGAAGAAACATGACGCAAATCGGGAATATCTTGGGAGCTCCCTGGGGTCTCTGGCGTGGGTTCCCTAGCAAATCACATAACTACTGAGTGTCTAGAACATTCTCACGGAAACCACTCGCCTCTATCTCAGAACTACCAATCGTTCTGAACCTAGCATAGGTGGACTGCTTCCTCTCGGACCTGGGCACAGCAAAATCTGGGCCCATCATAGGAGCCTCGGAAACGAATGAAGCCGTGGCAACAAACAAATATAAGCAGCTCACACTGGTCACTGACATTCTCCTCGCAGGCCTCAATAGTCGGGAGAACCGTGCCCAGCATGGCTTGAGCGATGACAGCGCACGGAGCGGGCGGATACACCTTCTTCTTGGAGGTACGGAAGGAGCCGTCGGCCCTTTTGCCCAACAACACGTCATGGGCTCTAGGACCGTGGCTATACTTACCTCCTCCTGGAGTAGACGTTAGAAGCGTGGCTAGCGAGGGCATTCTGACAGCCAGAATTCCAGTCGGAGCTCCCCCCTCCTGGCCTTGCTCACACTGGTCAAATTCCGTCAAAGCACACGCTGGAGCAGACAAAAGAGCCTTGGTGGGGCGAAAGGACCATGATGGGACTGCTCTAGGCTCCCACGTGGGCGACGCTGGGCGTTCAACCCACCCTGCACCTCCAACGCATGCCGCTACACACAACAATTCAACAATAGCCATATACAGATCATTGGCAACCTGAACTCGGAGCCTCTGCTTGGGGGTTAAAGCCGCCAGCCCCCATGGGACATTCCAGGACCTCAATGGAGGAGGGCCCCCATCTTTCCACCGAGACGCAGAGAATGTTTCGCATGCCCCCCCCCATCCTATCACAGCTACTCCACCTGCCTTAATGTGAGCCGACCACAGCTCGACAGTAGACGGCGTACTAAAGCCCCCAACATCAGAATCTAATACAATGTCTATAGACAGGACACGCACCTCCACATCAGGTAGCACAAGCTCCAACGCCGCTTCAACAGCGCATTGTATGTCACCCAACCGGCGTTGGCCACAAAACAAATTAGCAATAAAAACAGTTCGGCGATGAAGTCTGCGAGGCACTCTTAGAAGCCAGCCTACCTGTGTACTCATTCCTATCATATGGCCAGTCTAAAGGCGTGCCGTCTACAGAGCCTGGGGCTGGGGGGTCATCTGCCTTCATCTGATCCAGCACCTTCCTGGACTATCCCGCAATGTCCAGAAGGGCATTATGTAAAAAACTGCTGGGCCTGCGCACGAGAACACATTGCCTTTTAAACCTCTAGCCGCTGGACGGATAGGGCCTGAGGTTATGCGCGAAGGAGTTGGTGCATGAGACGATGAGTACCCGCGCTTGAAGGCAAGCGTGTTTTCTTGCTTCTCCTTCTCTGCCAACTCCTTTATCACTCCTTAAGTGTGAGGAGGCACCTGCGTCACATGAAAGACCATGCAAATCTGACGCCAGGTCGTGACATGTCGGACCAGCAGCGCTCTCGATTCAAAAACTCTTACACAAGCCAGGCACTTATTCTCAGAAACGCACCTCCGAGCAATGCCTGGCAGAGTAATGCGGTTAGCCCGAATGTGGGCATCAAGAGAGGGTATCTTCTCGGTGCAAAAAAAAAATCTCAAAAATGACAGCTAAAGCACTTACGCGCAACAGGCTGTGGCACGTCTCTAGCAGAGGGGAGGCCTTCTCTCTTCAACATGTTCAGGAGACGCATCTCCCGGCGAGATGCCTCCAGTTCACGTGCCGCCTTAGCCACGACAGCCTTAGTAACTGCCTGAATCGCACGCAACCAAGATCCCCTGGAAGATTTACTTTTTTAACCCACGCACTAGTGTCTGAGGGTGGTAAGGGCATTTCCTGGACAGCGTGTGCGACCTCAGCCAGGAAAAATCTTCCAGGATCTGATGCAACCATGATTTTTTGTTGAGCCCTTATGCTAGCCTGCACGTGTTCAGCATGTAGTAGAGCCAGGAGAGGGATAGGTGCCGCTGCCAAGACCTGCCCGAATAATCGCAGCCGAGCAGCCCGTAGCAACACAGACACCACAGGCCTTAGTGCAGCAGACATGACGTCTTCATCAGCAGGGCCTCCAGCCTCACAACAAGATAATCTCAATACACGCCAATATATTCGTACGTATTGGGACCGAGCTCTATTCATGTCACTGCCAAACATGTTATACCATATCTGCCCCATACAAAGCATAAGTCATGACAAGTGGATCAGTAAAGATCAACTTAGGTACGATAGATGCCTTGGTGGCCTTCTTGAAGGCCTTGCTAAGCACGGACAGCTGCACGCGTGATTCAGCTTCTCGGCGTACCAGTTCAGGCCCCAATAAGGCACGGTCAGTAATAACAGAACCTAGATGCACTGCTGCGCGCACAACATTGACGCCTTCACCGACGAACATGGACCTCACAGGGTACACCTTCCCCAGGGAGTGGAAAACATGCCGTCGGAATTTGGCGGGCCCAGGGCCAGTCAAGTGCAACATCAACTCTGTTTTCCAATCTTCAGGTGAGGCACCAAGCCAACACGCGCACACGAGTTAACAGCAATTCTGCAGAAGTCCCCCAGACTCTCCTCAATAACAGAAAGAGGCGCAAGCAATGCATGCAGCGAGTCATCTGCATACACCATACCTGGAAACGTGGCCTCTGCACCTGCCGCTGGACTGTCCTCAAAAATATTAGCAGATGGCACAGCAAAAGAAAATGTTAGCCCAATCTCCTTGAACTCCCTAGCAATATAGTTGGTGACTGCTGCGATGATGAAAAGAAATAGTGCATCGCCAAATGGGGTCCCTGGCCTGGTTCCTCTAGACGTTACTGCAATACGAGTAGCTCCTGGAAATTGAAACCACCCACGCCGATAAGCCTCCTCCACCATCGCCTTAAAATGATCATCCACATCCTGGGTGTGTAACGCTGGCAGCTCTTGCAAGCGCTGCGCCAGGAGCGGGAGGTACGATGCTGGAAGGCCGGCTTGCTCCAATAACGATGTGAGGGCTTCTGGGGAGACATCTGTCTGAAAGACCAACTCTCTGATAGCCATGTAGTGCGCACTCATGACATCCACAAGAAGAAAGCAGAGACAGAGGCCATCAGATTGCGCATATCTTTGCAGTGCACGCGTAGCCAAAAGCGCAGGCTGCGTGCCTCGACCAGGCACTCCTGCATACTGATGGGAGCCCACTGCAGACTGCATCGCCGGGATAAGCATTCTTCTAA